AATGCAAAATACAAATCCCGAAATGTATTATGGAAGAAATTGGAGGCAAAGATTATGGATTAGTAGACTATTTACAGATATTGAATTTAAAACTTATTTAATACTGCCACAGATAGACATTGTAACCATTGTAATCACTGCATAACGCACTAAAACAATTATTAATAGATACTGCTCCCTAATGCAAAAAGCTTACAATGAAAGTGTACATTAGTTTTTGATATTGTGAGCAAACAAGTTCAGTATTAAATATAGAAAGGATAAAACCRTAATGCCCTGTTGGTGATGCTCAGTAAGGTGTATAACAACTGGCATTGTGATAAAATTGTGGATTTGCTTGTTGAATGTCTTTTCCTTTTTGCTGCTTGCCAAATAAGTGCAAATCCCTAAAGTGCTGACGGGTCAATTCTTCCAAATCATCAAAAACTGTCAACGAAAAAACACTTATATTAGGCTGTACTAATTCACAACAATTTTGTAATAAATTTTACCTCATAGACGGTCACCTAGTTTTGGAAAATTCAATTTCCCTCCTTCACTAGTAAATTCACTTCAGGAGCCCTTCTTTTTTGAGTGAACATTCTTGAAGGCCCCTTCTTTTCTTGAACCCATATGTTGAAGTTGAAAGTTCAAAAATGTGCTCTCTTGTAATTACTATCATTGCGCTTGTTTGGTTCAGGTACCCCCTCTCCCCACCCCCACAATTGATACACTGTATAAATGAGAACCTATTAATTACAAGTTTGACAGTGACATAAAATAAWACTTACCTCTTGCATTGTACACATGATCACCAGATGACACAACTTTTTGTAGAAAGTTTACCATTGCACCTGTCGATATAAGTCTTTCTCCTAGAGGCAAACCCTCAAAATATTTGAAGTCAATGGCAAAAGGGTTAAATGGGGCAGGATACATGCATAGCTTGACAATCTCTCCTATAATATCCCACAGCTTGGTATCTAAAAGAAATAAAAACTTTGTTTCATAGGAGGGAAAGAGAAACTCTCTTAACAGGTAACACCTATAGCACATATAACACCCTTTAGAAAATCACTTTTATCTAAAAGGTAACAGACGCTGCCAAGCAYTTCAGTCTTTGAAATAAAGAAATCGATTTTGAATTGTATTTTTCAAGTTRTGGACATTTGAAAATACAAATGAAGTGACATCAACTAAGGAATTGGTCCAGACTTTTTACAATGTTTGTATTATGTTGTTATTCGTTAAAGAGCTCAGATCATTAATCATATAAATGAGAGCTCAAAATACTTTTTCTTTTTTTTCTTTTTGTAACAAAAAGAATAACATCCTCTTTCATGCTTTATTTGTATTAAATCATGCCTTAGTAGATGTCACTTCATTGCACTTTCTAAGTTTCAATTGCCCATAACTTAGATAATACAATTCAAAATCAATTTCTTTCTTCACAGATGTACTTAGCAGCATTTTCGTTTTTGAATGATAATGAATTTCTAATGGTGTCATGTGCAATTAAAGAGAAAATTAGTAATACATTAAAGTGCTTTTAAAATATGCATCTTGGCCAAATTCAAATTTTCAAAAGTTGATATASAGTTGGAATTTACGAGTAGATTGAGTTGATACTGATTAAGACTGACATTTTATCACTGCCTTGCCTATCTTCTCATAATACACATAATTTTCAGAATTTCCATAACCCAATTTCCATGCCCCAATTTATAACTTTCTTTACATAAACATTCATACTGGAAATCCAGTACTGATTATTCAGCAGTTCACAGGCACATTTAAAGGTCTCAGTTTTAATCAAGAGCAGACAAGAGCAGTGTTTGACCTCCAAAGCATCAGCACGTATCATAATTTGTATCTCTCATTGAAGGCAAGTGTCCACTGCTTGATGATTTTGTCATGATCAGATTATCCAGTAGAACAGTTTTATACRCAAGTGCCTTGTACCACTTATTTCAAATAATTGAGAACATTTTGAAAATATTCAGCACTGTCACAGGGAAGGTCCATCAGAAAAAAGCAATTGTAGAAGGTTGTATGCTGTGGCCAAAATGCCAATACAATGTTATGGAGGAAACGAAGTTAAGCTGAAAGGATTTGTGTGAAATTCTTTGCTGAGCCTTCATAGCCTCATTTTGGTGTTTTATGATCAGCTTCAAAGACTAAACTACTCATTGTGTTATTTTGATCTGTTGGATTGAAGTGAGTGGTATACATTAGATAASCTGTCATTTACCTTTTTGCTTCCAAGCAGCTGTTGTTTTTAACTTAAGTGGGCTGTCTTTAAGTTTTGTCTCATCATCTCCTCCAGTAAATGACACAAGTCTCTCATGGTTTGACCTTACCCAGACATAAGGACAATTATATCTTGCATAGGCAGCAATCAGAAAAAGTGTAGATTTTTCATCCTATATAAAAAAGCATATTAATCTATTGATTCTTTGATATATTGAGYATTTTGGCCWCGCAAGACTAAATCTCATTAAATATCTCTTTGCATTGGTATCTCAATTATCTCCCATTATTTGTTAGTTCTATGTATCTACATGTACATGTTGCTTCAGTGTGGGTGGTCATAGTCAGGATTTGTTACATTGCGAGTGGTATATGTATTGTGAAGGTCTCCCATTGTAGGACAGTGAAAAGTGTAGGGAACAGGACCTTATTTTATAAGACTGGCTGTGTTGAATAAACCGTTATTTGCAAGTGGATATTCAAAGGTCTAGCAACATTTCCTCAAATATTTTAAAACCTTCTTTTTCAGAGAGAATCCTAACATTCCACCAAGTACAGAGTTTTATCATACTATGCTAACCAGTTGTCAATCCAGGCCTGATTTTATGTTTTTGTGTGCAGTGGAAATTTTTCTCTTAAAAAAATAAACTCTATTAGAGTTTACTTTTTATGGGAAAAATCACAGTTAAACTGGTCCCTTGGTTGGGTTGCTTGATATGTAAAGATATGATTATATGGCCGCAAGGTCGTGGAACCTGTCATCTAGGGGACGTTGATTTAATCTAATCCTATCTGATAATAAGTGAACATCATTATATATGTATATATGTATTTATAATTTTATTGTTTAAATATCCTATCATCTTAATTAATTAAGAGTATTGTAATTAAGAGTACAATTTAGCCTCCAATGGCTACCCTTCTCTTTTTAATAAAGCTATTATTTTTATTTTTATTCTATTATGTAGACAGGGTAGCACTAGAAAATACATGAAATAGAAGTAGAGGAAAGATATAGTGCTTATTCTGGTTGGAAAGAAAATCAATTTCCGACCTCACTGGGATTGCAAGGGATTTTTCACACAGAATAATCTACTTTTGTTTCATTGATTAATATTTGATCAATACAACTTTAAAGAAGGTGGAAACAAGCGGTAAATTAGTGTGAGCTGGRTCGRTGTTTCTAAAGAAAAAGTTGTGTAAAAAGGTATTTAACACCGTAAAAAATAGGTGAAAAAACTTATGTTTCAGATGTTAATCCTTTGTCGGAGTAAAGAGATGAGACTAGAGTAAGTGTGGGTTTTTATATATAATAAGAGGAGCAAAGAAAGTAGACCAATAGGAGCAAGGTAAAAGCAAAGCTTCTTCTTTGGCACTTAGCAACATCAGCAAGATAAGGAACTATCTGAATCAATCCCAAAGAGAACAGCTTGTTCATGCTTTTGTCACCACAAGACTTSATCAGCRTAACAGCTTGTTCTATGGTTTGTCTGAGACTGAACTCAACAAACTCAAACACGTTTTACATGTAAATGCTTCCTTATATKTTATTAATTTAACTTCGGTTCTGGATAGYGCCGGYGATCGAGATAAATCCCAGTCTAGCCAAAACTATGTAAAATCACYGCGAAAGCGTCAAAAAGCAATAATAACAATCCCCAAGTACGGTAAACACAAATTYGTTTCAACCGCAATCAATGATCAATATCTCAGGAGTTGAATTAAAGCAAACAATAGAAACTTAAACAAACAGCCAAATAGAGTTTGTAAGCTTAAACGCATCAATGATTGAAAAGGTCAATAGACAAAATATGTTTCATTGAAAGTCTTGGTTTTAGTGTGCCAAACAAGAATTTTGTTTAAAAAAAGTTCACATGTACCATGAAACAGTCAAATAGTATCCGGTTTAACAAGGCAAAAGGGAAAATTTCTTAAAATATCTGATTCTGTCGGAGAGAGAAATTTGTGTTTTTGGTACATTTTTGTTAAATCATAAGTGTGGTGGTGTTCATTTTAGTAATCAACCTAGATAACAAAGAAACTGTCAAAGTAAGTACGCAAAGAAATTTTGCATAAGTATCTATAGACAACAGATGTGTTGCAGATGTAATTCATATTCTTTAAGTGCTTGGRCGTCGATGTATAAAGGAGTACAAGAAAGACTACAGTCTCTTTGATTGCGAGCTGCGTAGAGCTGGAAAATTCTACAACAGARTCTTCATTGTTTCATTTTAATATTAACTTGGGTTCTCGCAAACAGAGGTCAGCACCTTCGTACAATCATTTTCGAAACAAATTGGAGGATTGCCCAGTCTTCTTTGCTTGCTTCGACCTTTGTGACTTAACGGTATRTCAATCAAATTATAATTACTTTTCAAATAGAATTTTACATGATTTTATGGATACAGTTTTCTTTTTTGTTACAATCTAATTATTTTGAACTTTGATTTTTGACAACCAGRAGCRAGCACCTGCAGTTAAAAGACAAGTCTAACCGCAATTATGTAACATTGGTACACATGYCTAAATGRAAGTGCTTTCGATTTCTAAATCAGAGGTCTGAGGTTCAAGAATCAGAGGATTTGACATTTCTTTAGATTTCTTTCTTTGCCAAAAAATAAATGAATAAATAATCAAATGTAGAACAGGGAAACTGGTAACAGCAAATTAATGAGTAAATTACTGGAAAACAATGAGAATAAATTAATAGTTCTGAATAGTCCTGAAGTAACGCAGGCTCAAGTTTACAGGAAAGTGAGTGACTGGGTGACTGAGTGAGTGACAGACTCGTMCCCCTCCAATAACTCTTCGAGTTAAAAAGGGGGGAAACAAATATTATAAAGTGCTCACGGATATGATCGCCAAGACAACGGCCAGTCTAACCTATTTTTTACAGTGTTAAATTTTATCTTTTAACACAACTTTAAAGACATGACTGTGTACCTTTAAATCAATATCTCTCTCACTAGGACTGGCAGGAGGTAATCCAATATCCATGAAGCCATAACCACTTAAACTAGAGTATAACACAAATACTTGTTTTAATTATAGAATACAGATTTTAATCATTTAAAACACAATTACTACAAATCAGTCTGCACAGTTTTTTGTACCTTTTTTGTGTATTTGTTGACATGATAAGAGACTGACTACAGGAAAAAGAATATCACATGAGTTACATGAGGTATGAGGTTTGAAGACCTTAATTTGTAATTAATATACAGTATGAGTACAAGCTTTCATAGCATGATTATATGTATGTCTAATGTTTTTTCATAAAATCTATAAAATCACATAAGCAATAAAGCCTGCAATTGGATGCATAATCCATTTAGACCCAGGGGGGATGTGCCGCCAACCAGGGTATTGTTTTCAGTGATTTTACTCTGGAACTGGGTATCGTTTTAAGCGATTTTTCTTTTTTTCACTGAAATCACAGGGTCAGGGTTTTGAGGTCCCAGCGGCACACCCACACCCCCACCAAGTTGGGGGTAGTACCCCACCCCCCCGGATTTAGACTGAAGACCTGATTGGTTGAACAGAATCCCCAGATCCTTCTTTTCAAAATTTTTGTATCCACCCTTTTAAAGGTACATGCACTTACTCATTTCTTGGCAGTGATGGTTGTGCTTCAAATGAGAAACTTGATTTTCCTGGTTTCATCTTCTCAGAGTATGTTGATGTGTAGTATGAAAGTATTTCCTGAGACTGCAAGTATTTTATATAAATTATGASTTTTTAATTTACTTTGTCAATCAGCTACAGGAATACTGGTGACTTTGATGATGGTACAATCAAGATCACATAAAAGCATATCAATAACGAGCACTTTTGAACAACTTACCATAGGTTCATTTAAAACCCTGCATATTAATTCTTCTCTTCCTCTCAGATAAAGAGCAAAATATTTGAAACCCTGAAAAAAAATTAATACATGAAAAGGAACAAAGTACTCATTCAGAAACTGTCAATACAATGAAGTCATTCTGAGCATGGAATTTTAGATAATACTCAAAACACCATTATTCAATTCATTATTCGATTCTTGGTCGATTCAATTTCGATTACATTTATTGAAATCAAATTTGAATTTAATTGGGTTATTGATCAGATTTTCATAAAGCCTTCTTCATATTTCGCTTGTAAACATGCTGGTCTTTTGCAATTTCCACAAGTCGATGCATTGCAATATGCTGTCTGTTAATTGGTCGGATCTCTTGTCCTGTTTAATAGTCTTGTGCTGACAAAAATTCTTGAATGAACCAATTTCAATGAATAATGATGTGGAATATAAAGAGTTTTGCGACTCTCTCTCTCCTCCCTCATCAACTCATTGGGATATCATTTATTCAGAAAGTTGGTGTTCATTTAAGATTCAACAAGGAGAGCAAGTCTACATGCCTCAACTGAGACATGGGAGATGACAGACTATTCTCCTGCTGCTCATGGATCTAGAGCAGTTACTAGACTTCTTGATTGGTTTCTTTGCAGTCTGTRGTTCGACTAGAGTTAGTGTTTCACGGGTGAAGTGTAACATTYCAAATCCTTGGCATGTATAGTTCTTCATATCATACTCTGACCATGTTTCAAGTTTTGGTATTCATTTAGTAGAAAAGCAGCAAAACAATATAACTTAGTAAGAAAAAACTCTGCAAAGAAACCTAACCTAAAACATGCACAAGCTGTCATCTCGAATACAATGTACAACAGATTCCAAATTTTAAATGAATCCACTGATATGTTATCCCGAGCATACAGTTTTCAAACTACATGCCATTGAATCAGTTTGTTTGATAGCTATTCGAGTTTTAAAGGAATCTTTGCAGAGAGGTAAGATTAGTTCTATTAGTACCTTGAGACAACCTACACGAAGAATCTCGGCCAAAAACCCCTGTAATCTTCTTTTCTCCTGTAATTCAATAGAGCTAGGCTTAACATATGATAACATAGTTTCGACAAAACTTTGACGTGCTAAATGCAATATCTTCCATGAKCTGAAGTTTTTGCAGGTGGCAAAACAAATTTAAGCTTAATATGTTTGTACCGATTGGTTTCTTGCTTGCGGCGGGGTGGCCATCTTTAGATGCTGCTAATCGTGTTTATCATAAGTTAACAAACATTGGTTTACAGATCACAGCATATACGGAAGTAGGGCTCCCTTGCCACAGAAAAGAGACCGAATGAAGACGAATGACCTGAGAGAAATGCAACCTGAATTTACGAAAGTCGASGAGATGCGATACGCCGATCACGCGGTCGGAAAGCTCTCGTAAAAATCCGAAGAAGCTRTGCAGCCTGGCGATCAAATCTCGCGGGATTTTGTTTTGAAACCCAGTGGCAAGACCGTTATGCTTGTTTATTATTGGCTTTTGTATTGTTTTGTGGTGCTATGACTGTATGTAAGGGTGTATTTATGTTATTATAATCTTTTTTCCCCGTAACACTAAGCAAATGTTGATTTCCGTCTATATTYTTGTGGAAAATGGAGAGTTTTAAAGGAATCTTTGCAGAGAGGTAAGATTTTGCTAAAGCAAGTGTCGTCGTATAAAGTGAGAAATATTCCTCATTAGTGGTGCTCAAAGTCTTGACAAATGCACAGAACAAGTAATTCATWTGTTATCATTGGTTTGATGAAGTTTAATACACTCCATTTCTAAATTTGTCAATATTGGAATGTTTTATCAGTTTCTTAGTAACTTAAGCTTAATTACTTAACTATGCTTAAAATATGCTTGAATTTATTTKACCAGTTCATCATTGGTTAAGAGTCAAATAAATATTCAGCCAATTAAAGAGGAATTTTCTAGGAATTTTTTTTGTACAAAAGTATCATCTRATCAATGTGCTTTCAGTGCTTAAGATCAACAGACATTGTCTGTGCAGAAAATGTAAACAGTGGATTTTGAGAGAAATGCAATTTGTACATACAATTTACTTACCTCTTCTGAAAACTTGCATTCTTTTATTTGTCTTGCTCCAGTAAGACTTGGAATTCTCTTTCTATTTTTTCTGCTCATGTTTTAGCACTCAACAGTATCTGAGCACAGCTAACAAAGATTTAATTCCAATCCCCCTATAAAATAGTTTTGAAAATGACCAAAGTACTAATTATTATTCACAAGGCACAGAAATTCTGAACAAGCATAGTRATAATAGAGAGCAAAGTGATAATACAGAAAAGGAAAATTAAGAAAACTAATARTATTATACAGAAGAGTCATGCTACAGGTTGTGAATACTTCCTCAGACCATCAATAATAGAGTGGAATATATGGTAGCATATATGGTACCTTAGATTTGAGTGGTACGCTGTTATTGTAAAACTTCAATAGAAACACAATTGAATTCTTTATACATGGGAAAGATCAACATTAATGATACAGGTCTGACTAAAGTTCAATAGAGTTGAAATCAAACTTAGATTGATAATCGTACTGGCATATACARGGCCAATATTAAAGAGGAGGAAAACAATGAGACAGATCAATATTATTCTGAACTTTAAAATATTTAAACCTACAGACATGTTAATACATACCAAGTTTTGTTCTACTGTCAATGATTTTTCAAACTGCTGTTATCCTTCCTTTCACCTAACCTAATATTCATCTGAAAGTTTGTATTTTACTATGTTATGAAGTTGTGGTATTGTTATATTGTAAAGAAACTTTTGGATTCTCTAAGTTTCTTGCATATTTTATGAGCATATTATAATTTATGCAAATCATGCGTTATGACAGGTGTTTGGGAATTCTAAACCATGTTCAAGTTATAGACCAACAAAATTGTGCTGTGTGCGCCTGTGCTTTGAGCTTTTTTCATTTTTACTATTTTATAGATAGTAGTAATTGCTTTAGTAGCATGGYTTTAGTATGGAGGAAATAAAAATACAGATTTTAATGTTGCAGATACCATAATAATCAATAGGAAGTGAACAAGTATTTTCTTTGGTATTGGCTTATATTTGTGATTTATTTTTCAAAGTGAAGTTTTAATCCCATGTTGTTTTAATACTGGTTAACATCAAAGTGAACCTGATTACAGTATTAATTATAATTACATTAACAAAACTTCTATGAAGTGCTTGGAGAAATACATTTTTCAAGTTAAATAAAAAAAGTGGTTTTATTTTATAATACATTTAATTTATTCTGTTATGTACCTAGCCTTTTTCAAAAATTATGAGAATTGTCTAAATATCTAAATATCATAATATCCATATCCATATATTGTATGGAACACGAGGGTTTGCTAGAATAATTCACTGTTGACATCGAGAAAATGTTCAGAACTACGGATAAGTCTGTTGCAAAAAAAAACTAAACTACAAAGACAAGGGACTAAGGGCATCGCGCGGGATTACCCATCATGCACTCGATATTATGATATTTAGATACAACAATTCTCATAATTTTTGCAAAAGGCTGTACTGTAAGTAATAAGTACATRTATATAGGTATTGAATAAAAACAATGCATTAAGAATTCCTCTGATTTTTCATTTTTCAGTTTGGGCTTCAAAGGCAATCTAACATCATGTGAGCATGAACTTAAAGAGGTAATTTACAGTGTAACACTAACAATACTAACAATGAAAGTGCTGTACATTTTCATATGTGAAAGAATGTAAGTTCTATAATAACTAAGTTTTATTCAAATATGATTGTACATTATCTAGTTAATTAAATTAAAATACTTGATCAGTGAAGCTGAAACACTACAAAATAGTACTGWAAATTATAATACTGTAATTACTTTGTTTTCTATTATCTAATCAAGACTATTAAGTAGTTATTAGCAATAGTAAAGTTGTTTCATAGCCAGATTAAGTAGAGAAACCTAAGTAGGTACACTAGTAACTGTTCTCTGAATTCTTTCTTAGAAAAATCACATCTCATCTAATTTGTGATCCAGTAATRTGTATATATTGTGGTTATTTCTATAATAGTTTTGTGCATACCAATTCCTTATTGTTACTTGGATCTAYTCTAGTTCACACTGTAGCCTGGTAGCATGTTATAGGTTGATCTTCCAGTAAATATTTAATTATGTAAACTTATTCATTAAGTGGAATCACCTGTATTTGGGAAAAACAGCTGTAGTTCTGTTTGCCAAGAACAGGGATTTACAATGTGTAAATTGTGACAACATCACTACATGTCCTTCAAAAATGATACCTTCTTGGCATTTGAGATCAGTAAGAAAGTCAGTAGTGTCAGAGCTAACTACTAGACCAATGTCTACATGTTGCTTCRTGTGTGTTAAGTGTGAGAGAAGTGAAGCACTAACTTCTTGTTTGGTRTGTGATGGAGGTCTGTGTAAACAATGTTGGGATCCAATGCATCAAAAGGTAGCCATTTTGACAATGTTTTAAAGATGGTTTTGATGTTTCTTTCGGCAATAATTTGAAATGTACAATATACATTTATGTACAGTCATGCATTTAAGATTGTGAATTGTTACAATCAAATCTGGGATATAATATTATTGAGGTGTTCATAAAAGAATCATGAACAAGAAAAAGGTTTCTTTTCTCAATGCAGTAGACATATACTATCTGGGGTGCAATTTAGTGGGTAACTATTCTGAACTATTCAATGTGACTCTATTGTTTTTAGCTAATGCATCAGATTGATCTTATGGTAAGTGCAAAAAAAGCAGAATGGGAAAATCATTTGCATGCAGTACAAATCCAGTTAGAGAAAAGAAACAAAGAACTTGGGTTTACAAAAGCACAGCTGGAACAGAAAACAGAAGAGGTAATTATTTTCAGTGGTCAACCAACATGCGTGATATCCTTACTTTTCATGCCAAGGTGAATATATTAAATTTGAATAATATCTGAGATGGAAGGATTGAAAGAGTTAATGATATCTATGACAAATATAAATGACTGCAAGGACTATGCGACATTAATTAATTTGTTTAAACCAATTAGGCCTTTGGAATGGTATAGCTGTATTTACTTTCTAAATATGCATCCATAAAAAGAATATGAAATAATCTTCTTATTTTTCTTCTGCATATTTATTCTGTGATGTATAGTTTATACCCTGCATTAGTGTAATTTATACTGTYTATACCCTGCATCATACCTAAAGATTAATTTAAAATTTAACTCCTTTAGGTAGATAGACTACAGCATAATGTGAARGATATGGAATTGGCTCAGCATGGTGTTATTGATGAGTATGAACAGCATGTGATACGTTTAAAAGAAGAGGTAAAAACCAACACCTTTGCAGTTAAAGTCACTGATCAATAAAAGATAATTGATTGATGGATATACAGTAGTTAAGCTCAACATGTGACTTAACTGGGAACTTTGAATATTATTCTTGATTTTCACATGTAGAATGTGGCTGGGTTGTCCTAATGTTGATTGATTATATAATGGATTATAAATTGATTTGCTGGTTGACATAGTACATGTACATGTACTGTAAGCTGATGGCTGATAGATGAATCAAATGTTTTATTGGATCAGTTGTTTATTCATTTTCTTTKATTCCTTCCTTGGTTTTATAAAGGTTGATAACTTGAAGTATGAGCATGAAAAGTTACAGAAAAAATCTGGAAAGCAAACTTTTCATGTGGAAAAAGAGCGTGATCAGGTATGCTGCAATGTTTAAGGTGATATGTTCATCTCTCCTTGTATCTTAAAACTGTAGACGCATAAGTGCATAGTGGCATGTTAGGTTATTGCAGGGTATTGCTTACAGTAGTTTATACTGGTTGCTGGGCTGTTTTTGTTCAGCCCAAGGAACTGATTTATTGCTGGTGAGGCACTGCATTCCATATGCAGCTACATTTTGTATTAAAAGTTGAATAATGTGAGACAAAAAATGTAGCTTCCATCTTGTTTAGAATACACTGTTATAATGTAAAAAAAATATGTAATATTATATCTTCAAACATCAAGTTGCAATCTTACATGTATGTAGTACAGTGTGCTTCCTATGACATTTCTAGAAAGAATTAGCTAAATTCAATAATTCTCAAACTCTTTATTTCAGCTTTTTGCTGACTTGAAGTTGAAAGAATCAGAAATACAACGACTGAACAGCYGGATTGAGGTGACTTTATTAGCAATCCATTAAACTGTAAAGTTCCCAGATTTAGTAAGGGTTAATTACTTGAACCAAGCATATAAGCTCTATAAAATGCTTAAATATATTATATTCTTATTGCCAAGGTTCAAGGTAAATAACTCTTTTATTACATAATTGAGGAAGTTTTTATCATTAAAATGATCTGACCATTGTAAGAGAGATGACTACAATGTAGGTTTCAGAAGTTGGCCAAGCAAATTAATGTAACTGTGTTTTTTTTTTTAAAACTATCCTCCTATCCATCTAATCTGATTGATTTGCAACTTATTAATGATGAGACATGTACATGTACATTTACTTTTCATATTTGTTTTGTATTTCAATAGGACTATAAGATCAAAGCAAAAGACTTTGAAGGAGCTCGCTATGCATTTGAAGAAAGAGTAAATGCACTTGAAAGTCAGAAAAAAGCCCTYATAGAAAAGACAGACCTCAGTCAGGTACAAAATACAACAGTTKCMCATTTATAAGTAATGAAGGTCTAATATATTTTAACATTATTTGTACATTAGCAACAAATTCTTGGGTATCAAACACAGCTTAACAAAAGGCGACACATGTTGGAAGATTTAGAACATGACCATCAAAAACAACTGAGAGAGTTGCAGGCTCAGGTATAATAGTTGCCTGTTTGATTTTATAYTGTTATTTTCTGTTTGTTTCAAGCATCCAGTGGYTGTTTCWCATAATGATATTGTGCCATGTTTGTCTACTGTGAGATTGSTAGAAAAATATGATGTGCAGACAAAACATTTCCATTGGAAGCTTCCTTAAATGGCATTGCCTTGTTTAGCACTTCCACTGTAATAATACTTCCCAGTCYTTTTTGATTTGTAGTGTAAAAGGTTAAAAGATGAGACAGAGACAAAGGATGACACTATTGCAGAGTGAGTATTCATTTCA